CACGTCGCAGGGTGTCATTGCTGCTGATGTCACTGATGGCACTGCTGATGTCACCACAGCCGCCACGATGTCCCCGCCGGTGGCAGCGCTGAGCCCGGAGCAGAAGCAGGAGCTGGCCACCATCGCCCAGCGCATCGTCGCCCCCGGGAAGGGAATCCTCGCCGCCGATGAGTCCACCGGTGGGTGACTGGGAGGGGACTGGGGGGCACTGGGAGGCACTGGGAACTACCAGGAAGGGATTAGGAAGCGTTGGGAGGGGACTGGGAATGTACTGGGAGGGGACTGGGAATGTACTGGGAGGGGACTGGGAATGGACTGGGAGGGGACTGGGAGGCACAGGGAACTACTGGGAGGGGATTAGGAAGCCCTGGGAGCGACTGGGAGCACTGGGAGGGTGCTGGGAACGTACTGGGAGGGGACTGGGAAGCACTGGGAACTACTGGGAGGGGATTAGGAAGCACTGGGAGGGTGCTGGGAATGTACTGGGAGGGGACTGGGACGCACTGGGAGGTACTGGGAACTACTAGGAAGGGACTAGGAAGCACTGGGAGGGTGTTGGGAACTACTGGGAGGGGATTAGGAAGCACTGGGAGGGACTGGGAGCACTGGGAGGGGACTGGGAACGTACTGGGAGGCACTGGGAACTACTGGGAGGGGATTAGGAAGCACTGGGAGGGACTGGGAGCACTGGGAGGGGACTGGGAACGTACTGGGAGGCACTGGGAACTACTGGGAGGGGATTAGGAAGCACTGGGAGGGACTGGGAATGTACTGGGAAGGGACTGGGAGGCACTGGGAACTACTGGGATGGGATAAGGAAGCACTGGGAGGGACTGGGAACGTACTGGGAGGGGACTGGGAGGCACTGGGAACTACTAGGAAGAGATTAGGATGCACTGGGAGGTACTGGGAATTACTGGAAGGGGATTAGGAAGCACTGGGAGGGACTGGGAGGGGGTGAAGGGGCACTTGGGAGGGGCACTGGGATCCACTGGGAGCTACTGGGATAGCACTGGGAGGACACTGGGAGCTACTGGGAGACACCAGGGCTGGACTGGGAAGTACCGGGAGCTACTGGGAAGCACTGGGGCAGTACCTGGGGAGTACTGGGAGCTACTGGGCCTTACTGGGAGCAACAGGGAGGCACTGGGAGCCTGGACAAGCACCCCAGTGCCCTGAGGCGGTACGGGGGGGAGGGTACTGGGAGGTACTGGGGCAGCACCAGGAGATTAGTGGGTGTTACTGGGCTATACTGGGCTGAACTGGTTTATACTGGGATGGCTACAGACAGCATTGCAAAGAATCTGAGAACTTGAAGGTGGCCCCAGGAGATCCCTGGGAGCTCCTGGCACTGCACTGGGAGCTACTGGGAGGCACTGGGGCAGCACCAGAAGACCAGTGGGTGTTGCTGGGCTATACTGGGCTGAACTGGTTTATACTGGGATGGCTACAGACAGCATTGCAAAGAATCTGAGAACTTGAAGGTGGCCCCAGGAGATCCCTGGGAGCTCCTGGCACTGCACTGGGAGCTACTGGGAGGCACTGGGGCAGTGTGAGGATGGCAGCGGGCCATAGTGGGCTGAACTGGTTTATACTGGGATGGTGGCTGGGAGCATCGCAAAGCACCTTGAGAGCTTCAGGGTGGCACCAGGGGGGTCCTGAGAGCTCCTGGTGCTGCACTGGGACACTTTGGGGCAGCACCGGGAGAACGGCTGCGGTTGCTGTGTTGAACTGGGAGTAACTGGTTTATACTGGGCCGGCTGCAGGCAGCATCGCCAAGCGCCTGAGCTCGGTGGGGGTGGAGAACACGGAGGAGAACCGGCGCTGGTACCGGCAGCTGCTCTTCACCGCTGACAGCCGCGTGGACCCCTGCATCGGTGGGGTCATCCTCTTCCACGAGACCCTCTACCAAAAAGCGGACGATGGGCGTCCCTTCCCCCAGGTCATCCGCAGCAAGGGCGCCCTCGTCGGCATCAAGGTGGGGACCCTCGGGGACCTCGGGGGGGACAGCGGGGGTCTTGGGGACGTTGGGGGGGACGTGGGGATGTTGAGGGTTTGGGTGCTCCTTGACTGGGGTCAACCGCATCAAAGGGGGTTCAG